CAGGACGCTTGGGGGTGGCCTGGTCAACCTCAGGGTCCTCAGGCTGACGTGGTCCATTACCTGGTCAATAGATAATGCTGAAAGTCCCCTAAATCATTGGTCCCTCAGAATCGCGCACCTCCTGGCTTCATCTGCTAATTAACAGGGCACAAGGTCGAGCTGTAGACCTGGGGGTAGCTGGCCCGGGAGGGAGAGTGGCCTGGGAGTGACCGCCTGGGACAGTGGGTGGAGCCCGGAGGTCAGGACCTCACTCCTGCCCTTTGGGACCCTCTGCTCCCTGTGCGTCTTTCCTGCCCCACCTCCCGGGCTGTGCCCAGCGGGCAGCGCAAGGAGCAGTCTGCGCTGTGTTCTGGGACTCATGCCACCGTGAGCAGCATGTCTGTCCTTTTGTGTGGCCAGAGGGTGCCCTGGACGAGTCCATCCCGCTCACTCACTCCCGTGCTCTTCCTGGGGTGTGTGGGTGGCTTCAGTTGGGGGTGTATGGAGACAGCGGCTGTGACCCTGTGTCCAGTGCTGTGGGGGACAGGGCCACCACGGAGGCAATGACAGCAGAGTCCAGGGCTCCAGGCCTCCTCCCAAGTCCATGGGGACCACCAGGAGGGAGGGAGGCAGTGGAGGGCCTTGGGGACCATCAGGGTGTCTTGTCAACCCGCCCAACGAAAAACAAAACCGGGGGTTGCAGCCGCCCCCAGAGACGTGAGTTCAAGTCCTGAGGCAGGCTGTGACCCTGACTTGGGAAGGAGGGTCCCCACCCGGCCATCAGGTTAATATGAGGTCCTGCTGGATTCCAGTGACCCTAGACCCAGTGCCTAGTGTCCTTATCCCAGGAGAAACTTTGGCAATGACCACAGAGTCCCATGTCCAGGCTCCAGGCTCCAGGGCCCTCTGGACAGGGACACAGGGAAGCAGCCACGTGGACATGGAGGGCAGGATGGACCACAGCAACCCCAGAGCTGCAAGAAGCAGGCGGAGTCTTTCTCAGAGACGTCAGAGGACCCTGGTCAGCCACCCGCGAACTCAGACCTGGCCTCCACAGGGAGTCTGGGCCCGCCTCCCCCGGCGTCCCTGGCCAGCCCTGTCCTAGCTGCTGTCTTGCAGTACCCTGTGAAGGGGGTCTGTCAGGCAGCCCCCGAGGGCAGGGTCCCCTGAGCTGGCCAGGCGGCCGGCACAGGCCCGGGATTGGCCTCTGAGGAGTGTCTGAGCCTCCCTCCTTCCCAACCCTTCCCCTGAGTCTCTGTCCCTTTGTGGTGCCATGTGATCAGCACACTGAGTTAGACCTTTGGGGACATTCAAGAGACAGCTCAGAAGAGCCCTGATGTCGAATCATGGGCCCTGGGCTCAGGCTCCTTAACTGCTCCAACTTTATTGTCCCTTTTTTCTGGTTGTGAAGAGAACAGGCCCTTGGTGAGGGCAGAGACCACCCAGGAATAAGCAGGAAAGTCTCAAGAGAGGAATTGGCACAGAGACAGCCTGCAGACCTGAGCCCCACAGTTTGTTGCATGTGTGACACATAAACTGGGGACACCCCATGCCCACCCTGCGCCTGCCCCTCATGTCCACTGACCCATACGTGTTCCTACGGGATCCTATCAGCTGCCGCTGTGC